GCATTTTGTAATTATAATAATTACTGCCAGTAGCTATTTACTTTAAAATTTTTGGGTAATTTTGATGTTGAATATAGGATATTCATTAGAGTATCAAGCAAATATATAACAGATGAAACAAATAGGTGGTTTACCGAAAAATCTAGAATCAAAAACTCAAAAAGGGACTACAAATGTGGTGACCCTATCCTTTGCTAACCGCTGACGTCCCATGTTTCTACCATGGGATCTCTCTCTCTCTCTTGTCGCTTCCCCGTTACTGAGGATCATGATATCTTCCAAAATTCCTAACAATTTTTCTCTATTGGTCTCTATGTTAAGCTGCTTTGATAGATTCGCAGAATGAGTTTCCAACTGAATTCTTAATTTAGTCGTCCTCTTGATCTTCTCTCTGGAACGTTACCAGAAACAATTATTCTCTTCAAACTATCGTCACCTCTGCAAACCACGTGACCAAAAAATTGCAGAATATATTGCAGACATACTGTGGACCGCCTTTTTTAATCTTGTGTTGGTTTAGAATGAAAAATTTTGTCCTATGAGCTGTCCAAGGTATTCGCAGCATTCTTCTCCAGCACCACATCTCAAAAGCATAAATTTTTTGGTGCTCGCGTCTGTCAAGAATTCAAGTCTCTGCCCCATATAAAAATGTTGAAAACACAAGGGCATTTACCAGTCTCATCTTGATTTTTTCGAAGATAGATCTGTTTTTTCAATTTTTAGGTATGCGACTCATCGCATTTTTTGCCATACCAATATGTCTCCGAATTTCTGCTTTACAGTAACCTTCGTTAGTTATACTAGACCTGAGATAGACAAAACTGTCCTTTATCTGGTATTCCTGTAAAATGTTAGCCAGTCGAATAGTGTGGAATCTCTCGACCATTATTATTTTTATCTTAGCTTTATTAATTTTCAGTTCAACTTTATTTCTTTCGTTCTTTACTCTTCGCAGAAGATTAAACATTTCTTGCTCATTTGCTGGTATATGTGTAGTATCAGCATCAAATCTTAAATTGCAGATTTTTTTACCAGCCACTGATACTTCACCGACTTGCTATCGAAAGCTATCCTCATGACATGTTCACCATACATGTTGAATAAATCAGATGAAAACACGCATCCTTGTCTAACACCTCTTTTTTTCTTGAATTGATTTGAGAACTTCTGATCTAATCGTACTGTTGCTATATTGGACTGGTACAGATTTTTAATAAGTGTCACCAGATGCATTGGTGTGCCCATTTCTATTAAAATGGACCACAGATTTATCGAGCTTTCACAATCAAATGCCTTTTGGTAGTCAACGAAGCATATAATTATAGGAACTTCGAATTATTTAGACTTTTCAATGAGTTATCTCAGGTTTAGGATTTGTTCCTGCGTACCTTTTCCCTTTAAAAAACCTGCTTGTTTATGATGTATTTGGTAATGTAGATAGTTTTATAATCTGTTTTTGGTGATATGCAACAAGATTTTACTAGCATGTATTATTAGTGACAGTGTGAGGTAATTTTCACATCTGGTAGTAGTAGACTTGGGACCAAATAGAGAGAAAGAAATAGATTCCCAAAGGGGAATTTATTTCTCTTTAGCAATTTAATTGCATGGTTAGTACCTTCTGACTACGTAGCCCGTGGAAACCGCTACCTCACAGTCTTTTGCAGCATTGATTACCTTATCTTTGAGATAGATCCAACTGCTCTCAGGGTACTATTTACTTTATCTCCAGAAAGCGTTTCTTCTAGGTTTTGTTGGAAGTCAATGATTTTTGATGGATTTAGAGACATGACTTTTCTTGGGGGTCTTCTTTTGGGGAATTAAAAACGAAATCGAACGTTCAATACCAGGAATTGATGATCGCTTTCACAATCTGCACCAGGATATGTTTTACAGTTGATGGCTTATGACTTTCATCTTGATCTTATTGGGATGTAGTCTATTTAATTTTTTGTTTATTTATCTGGCCTGTGCCATGTGTATAATCTCCTTGGATGATGTTGATAAAACGTGTTTGTAATTTTAAGATGTTGTTCTTCAAAGAACTCCACTAGACGGTCGCCATGGGGTAGTCAGGTCTTTCTACCCGTTTTTGTCCTTCCCCAAGTTATCCCTACCTTCATCGGTAACCACTTGCCAATCCGCTAGATAAGCGTGGCGTTTTGTATATGCTTAAACATCTCATGTAATAATACGACCAAACTGGACACATAAAGTAGACATACGTTGATACCGTTAATCATACAAAACAAACACACTACAGAAAAGATTAAAATTTAATAAAGATTGGTAAAACATTTAACTGGTAACGCATGATATTCCTAAAACTAATTTTTTTGGATAACAGACTAAAAATCGTTTGATAAAAGCACAGACAGAAGATACAGTTACAGTGAAGAATTAGTGGATAGTACTTGAGAAAAGCACTTTTTATTAAGTACTAATTATTTGATTCATAATATAAATTAGAGTAAACTATAAATTACATTATAAAAGCATATTAAAAATTAAATAAGTTAAAAAAAAAAGATTATTCTAAAGCGTTAACCAATCAGACAATTTATTTACAATTTAGTTTGGCACTGAAGTTTACGCTGAAAATGCGAATAGAATTAAACTTTTCGGGAAACTCTAGAATCGGAAAACCGATATCAATTGGTAATGTAATTAATGTTAAGGATATCACTTAAAATAAATAAAATTATTGAAAAGATATTTTTATATTTATTAATTTTACATTCAATATCAGCTCCACAGTTAACCACTAAACAGAGTCCATCAGTATTTGAACACACCCAATAAAAGGAATAGGACGAAAGGATAAAAGGAACTATATTGTACTGATGTTGGCAAACAGAACTTTATCTGCAGGACACATTAGGAGGTAGGTAGCATAAAGAGGTGCTAGACACATGAGCATATACGACGGATCATATTTATGTACAATTTGAGATATTGGAAAAAATGACTCTTGTAGAGGATGATTGCCGTTAATACTAGTAAAGAGAAACTGTTTAGTCTTCTTTTAATCTTCTTAGAATTATTAATTATGAAATAAATTCTTTATTTGACGTTTCGACATATTAAATTGAATTACATGATACAAGTTGCATTAGAATTTTTCAGCTTAATATAATAGCATTTATTTACCTACATTAAAAGAACTTGCTTAAAAAGAACTACCTATTTTGACTGAATAATAAGCCAGCATTTTTCTATGTAGCGTTTGGATACACATAAGATATACGTAAGTTACACATACAGAGAGATGTGTATATAAATAGAAGAATCAATTCAGTTCAAATAATAATAATAACAATACTAATGAAATATACAAACAAATATCGAGCTCACATTCTTTTTTGAGTCTTGACGCAATTAATAAATTTAATTGGTTGCTTCTGTACAATCTAATAGGGTAGTCCTCTACCTGGAGTTAAATAGTTTTATTTTCAGTGGAATAGTCGTACTTTGGGAAGGGCATTGCTCCTACCTGAAAAATGAAACAGAGCACCTGTCACATTTCGTCCTTATTCTATTACGTGTTGCCCAGAGTTGTCTAGGTTGAAAGACCCTTTAACTTGGTTTTAAAATGTGGTATATTTCGGTTGGTAGGTGTCACTCCTTTCTCCCAGTTCTCTTACCAGATTATGTTGAAGTTTCTAAGGGAATCATATGATCATTTAGTTTGTGTTCTTAAGGCTGTTTTAGCAGTTCAAGCACACTGCCATTTGAAATGGGCGTATCACTTACTTTTCTACACTGCTTACGCGAGACTATCTTTACTCAGTGGCGCAGCCGACGGCTAGTTTAATGATAACAAATGCATTACTCTCCGTTCAAATTAGTTTTAACACGAACTAACTGACCGCACGTTTATAAGATTTGACGTCACGAAGGCGAGAACGGTGAAAATAAACGACAATGATGAGTAACACGTTTCATTATTAGATTTTAGTATTTTTTAGCAATTTTCTTCAAAGTTGGAACACGCTTTTCTCGATTGTTACTGGACGCAGAAAGGTGAAAAAAATTAACGATTACAGAAAAAAACTCTTTCAAGTGATGCGCGTAAAAAGTTTGGTTATAATAGAACGTTAAACAGTATAATCCAATTTTTCAACAGAAGTTTCAAAAAAATAAAAAAAGTAAAACCATCATTTTAAAAGTAACATAATTTCGAATATTGTGTCTAAATTTCGAGACATTTTGTCGGTAAATAACAGTCCCTAGGTTTTGGTGCACCGATAAAACAGCCTTTAATAAACCATAATAATATTGTGATAATTGGAGCGTTATATTTGATTTGACGTTTTATTTAAGCTATGAAATAAACATCCTTGTAATAAGCTTTTTTTTGGAAATTATTTCGCGATCCCGTTTATTCTTTAAAGCGACCCCTCAGGGGGTTGCGACCCACACTTTGGGAAGCACTGCTCTAGAGAAATCCTAGAGAAAGTAAATAGTACGTTTATTTATAATTATCTCTTTATTTTTTTGCCCTATGCTGCTTCTCCATTCGTATGGCATTTGATTAAATCCATAATTCTATTTAACAATGCTGTTAGCCCAGTATTTATTCCTATCTTTTTTTGCTTTATTTTTGAAAATTTTGTTTACATCTTCTTTTCACGTTTTTTTGGTATTAAATTGATATTATAAATTTGTATCGGCTTCTGATTTAGTTTGTTACATCTTTCGCTTTCGTTTTAGCGATCTTATATTTTTGAGATCAGATCCATTTTCTACCACTATATATACGTGGTTATGAAATCTCTGTGAATGACTTATACAGTTCAATTGAACTATCCAGGCGCGTAACCAACAAAAATTATAATTGCCAGAATGGCTTCCAATCTCCGATAGGACACGAAATTTGAAGAAGTGGGAAATGGCGGGGAAACTGATGAAAATGTTGATTATAATGTAAAAGAGTGCAAAGGCTGCAATAACTGTTCAATATGTTGTTACAGAATAATAGTAACACTAAAGTGTATTACCCACGCTTCCCGCATATCCAACCAACGCATTTGCATCTTTCTTGCTTTTATTTCTGACATATTGATATTCTTGATATTCTTCTCAAAAACAATCCCACCGTATCCGTTAAAAATGTAATCGTCCACATCCGCAGACTCATTTCCGCAACTAAAAGATTATTAATATCTAATGTATGTCCATCGATTCTAAATCACCATCGAGCAGGCATTACAAAACTAACTTGGTCTGCAACTAGCCTCACCTGTATCTCAGATTCGTACTGGCTCATCCGATAAAGATTATTCCCATATACTAAGTTTTCGACGGTTTATCTACGTAATACCAGATAAATAAAATTTCGAAATGCAAACATCTGTACTAATACATTTTGAAAACACTTCCTTCTGAATCTTCGTTATGCGAATCAGAAAAACTATAATGTTTCCTTTGCCAAAAAGCCAGACATACGGCTGAAACTTGCCAAAACCCACCGGATACCACTACCCACCCTTGTTCCGCCCACGTACTTAATGAATCCACCAACAATAGCTGCACCTTCCGGCACCTCTCACATTTCTGGCCCAAATTATAGCTCCGACAATTTATCTAACATCGCACCTCTACCTTTAGATCAACCTCAACCTACACCTCCTACTATGACCTTTACCAAAAGAGCCCATTCAACTGACTTAAACCACGATTCTCCTCCTGTAATTGCCATTTCAGATCCCACTACTCACAGTCCAATCGATCCACATTACCTCCATAACAACTCCTTCCGGGCTCCCAAATCAGCCACTAAAAAAAATCGAAAACCAAAGATACAAAAACCATCAGCCACTATCAGCCCGTCTGCCGCGTAATTATAGAAAATCTTATAGCAGCAAACCCATCATCCTTTTCAACTAACTCGCTACAACGAATTGTTTTCTTGGAAAATTCTTTCGACTGCCATGACCCCTTAGCTGAATCATACCAATTTACTACGAACATTAATACCCTTCTTAATTACCTTAAACAAATCCTCCATAATATCTCTGATAGATCACTTAAAAATCGTATAACTCGAATACAAAAAAAAAATTAATGCTACGATGATTCTAAATGATCTTATTGATACTGTTAGTCTGGCATCTGTTAGCTCTAATGACAGTCACCTTTCCTTAGACAAAACCGACCTGCCTTAATTTACAACTTCCATATTCACTATAATTCAATGGAATTGCGACGGATATTATTCGCCCTTAGAACGTCTACTGCAGCTACTGATATCTCTCCACCACCCCACCTTCATTTCCTTACAGAAAACTAACTTCACGTCAACTAATTTCCATACACTCAAAGATTTTGAAGGGTATCATTACATCAGATCTCTCTGCTCCAGAGCTAGTGGAGGTGCATCTATATTTGCTTCTAAAGACCAATACTTCACCCTTCTTGCTCTGACTAACATTCTCGAAGCTGTCGCCATCACTACTTACTAATCTAACAAACTTACCATATGCTCTATATACATCCCTCCTGACTACATTCTAAAGGAAGAAGAACTCCTTGATTTTGTATACCAACTCCTCCGACCCTATATACTTGTATGAGATTTCAACTCATACCCTGTGGGGCTCCTCGCGTACATTTGGACGTGGTAAAGTTGTTGAAAATATTCTTGATTATACTAGCTCATGTATCCTCAATACGGGTTCATACGCCCACTTTAACATGGCTTCAGGTGCTTTTTCTGTCATCGATCTAAGCAGGTGTGATCCCAAATCGACCCCAACTTATTCTGGCAACAGCGGACGACCTTCACGACAGCAACCATTTCCCTATCACCTACGACCAAGTTTCAGTGAGAAGTTATTGGCGCATTAACAAGGCTCTCCAATCAATAATTGGCCAAGGCTCTCCAAAAAATCTGAATCCCTTAAATGCGAATTACCTAACTCTAATAATATTGATGATTCCATAAAACTTTTCTCAAAAGCCATAATTAAAGCAGCATTAACTCATATTTGCAAAACCACAATTAGCTCCCGACCTAAAGTTGTACCTTCGTGGAACTCTCAATGTGAACTCGCAATTCGACAATCAAAAACTACGCTCAATCAATACCACAAACATAAAAGTCCTGAAAATCTAATTAAGTATAAAAAGCTGAAAGCAAAAGCCAAATACGTTTTCGAGCCGAGCAGGAAAACATCCTGGCATACCTACCTATGTATCGTCTTTGAATGATAACACAAATCCCTCCCAAATGTGGAAAAAAATTCGACAAGTTCAGAGACAAAAAACTATCACCAAAATTACCCATATAATCTCTAACCGCACTTCTTCCAGCAACAGCGAAATTATTTGCAATACCCTGGATAATACATTTAAGAAATAATTTCACAACAAACTCAAACCCCTAATTTCATCCTCTACACAAGAACCGCTCTTCTACGACCTCACTTTACAGCACTTACAAGATATCGACAATATTAATTCTCCTTTCTCACTTTCTGAACTTCCGCCTGCCCTGATGATATCCCTTATATTTTTCTTAAAAACCTACCCAATCGCTGCCTCACTTTCCTGCTAGACATATATAATTCTATCTGGTCTTCTCAAATATTTCCTGCTCAATGAAACACATCCATAATTATACCTGTCCTAAAATATGGCCAAATACCAATCTTTCCTCAGTCCTATAGACTGATTTCTCTCACTTGCACCATGTGCAAATTAATGGAGGAAGATGATAAACAGGCGTCTTTTAAGGTTTATTGAAACACACCAAATTTTACCTAAAGAACAATCTGGTTTTCGCCGACATCATTCCACAAGCGATAACCCCATCCTTCTTCATACCCACATCGCCGAAGTTATTAATAACAGTCAAGAAGTGAGACAGATTATTTCCTATAAACTATTATTATACGGCCTCAATGGAAATATTTTTAAATTTATCAAGCACTTTCTTAGCTCTAGATCCTTCAAAATCTTTGTAAATGGTTGCCTATCATCACCCCACATCCAACAAGACGGAGTCCCTCAGGGTTCTGTTTTAAGTCCCACATTGTTTATTTTACCGATTAACCATATATGCCACAGTCGTCCCTCCCTAGTCAAATTAACTACCTATGCCGATAACCTTGTAATTTATTACCATGGTGTTGCGACCACTAGTACTTGCAAACTTCTCCAAACATCAGTGGACTTATTACACAATGGATTGACTACCATTGGCCTGTCCCTCTAATCTACAAAATCACAACTCATTAAATTCACCAGAAAAATACTCTCCACTGCCCCTAAAATCTTAGTGAATAATCACCCGCTCCCAGTCGTCCAATGGGGCGCTAGAAAATGTATCTCTTATTCGCTCTAAACTCGATTACGCAGCTTTGTATATATATATATATATATATATATATATATATATATATATATATATATATATATATATACATATATATATATATATATATATATATATATATATATGCATATATATATATTTATATATATATATATATATATATACAAACAACACAGTTTATTAGGGTTGCAGTCAGAAATATTGGCCGGGATGTTAAAAAAACACTCTTTTGACTTTTTGTCGAGCTTTCGGAATGGTTTTATTCCTTTTTCAAGACACTGCAAAAGACAATTATGTAAATATTTAAAAAATATCACAATTCTTCAGTGTAACTTACTAGTCGTTGAGATTATTTTTGAAAGCATTGAACACTCAACATTTATACTAAAATATACAACACAAAATATACCACACACATTAAAATATACAATTGTGGACAAAATACATCATAAAATCTTTAAAAATATTTGTTGGAAAAATAGTAAAGCCCGATTGATGGCATGTTTTACTGGTGTATATCAACTCATACAGAGAATGGAAAGAAAAAACAGTGTAATTAATATGTAATTAGGTGTAAATTGGTGTTATCTTTCTTTACAAGAAATATTAGATTCCTTTCTTAGGTGTCTATACTTTTTTTAACCTGTCTTAATGGTATGCAACATATTATACAGAGGTGTAATTTTTGTACAGGTAAATATTTATTTTATTTTCGGTGTTTTTCTAGTAAATAACAATAAATGTTACTTAATTTGTCTATATCGGACTTTTTATTGATACAAGATGTGCTAGATTTTATGAAACACATTTCCAAAAAAACACGTTTTAAATGGTTCTTTTCTTTTGCCAAAATACAGGAATCATCGAACTTGAACTCATGTTTTAGAGTTAGTGCATGTTCTGTCAATGCACATGCATTGATTTTTTTGGTTTTTATGTCACTGCGATGTGATATCACCCTGCTGTGAAAATTACGAGATGATTCTCCTATGTAAATTTTATTACAGTTACTACACGGTATAGAATAAACAACATTCGATGACTCCTGTATTGTGAAAGGATCTTTTGTCTTTGTGTAAAGCTTCGATACTGTTTTCACATTTTTGGTTGTAATTTTTAAGCCACTAACATTTTTAAAGATGTTCATTAGCTTAGGTGTCAAAAATGGAATATAGGGTAGGCAACCATAAGTTATTTTAGATGGTAATATTGATGCGTTATGTGTCAATGTCAATTGTCGGATCTCATTGTTATGAAAATTTTGGTTGACAGAAACTTGTGAAGGAAAAGGAGAACCGAAAATGAGTTTATTTAACAGCCCTATGGGATAAGAATTCTCTTGTAGTATGGATCTCAACTTTTTTAGTCCCTTGTCTCTGAATTCTATGTGTGACAAATTGATAACCCTAGTTTTTAAAGCCATAACCAAGTTTGTTTTCATCTTAGATGGATGTTGAGAATAAAAGTTTATGAAACGGTTACTGAAACAAGGTTTACGATACCACTCCGTCTTTAGCATGCCATCATTGCCACGATGGATTAGCATGTCTAAAAAAGGAATCATATTATCAGCCTCTCTCTCAACCGTAAACTTTAGGTGTTCACATTGGGCATTAAAAGTGTTTAAAACATCAGTTACCTTGTTTTCAGGGACCGATAGAATCAAATCATCTACATAACGTTTAATAAATGGTATGTGAAAAGGTATGTTTTCTTTACATG